TTTAACTCCACACCAATCAACGAACTCACATTCGACCTTGTTCAAATCGACTAAGAGTCAACATTCGACCTCGCTCGAATCATATTTGACCTCGCTCGAATTGACTCATATTCGACCTCGTTCGAATCAACTAAGAGTTAACATTCGATCTCACTCGAATTAACTCACATTCGACCTCGCTCGAATTAACTCACATTCGACCTCGCTCGAATTAGCTCACATTCGACCTCGTTCGAATTAGTACATTCGATCTCATTCAAATTGGCAAAGAATCGTATTCGAACTCACTTGAATTCAACTCATGCTCAACCTGACTTGAGTCCAATTTACAAGTTAACTTCATTTTAGTTAAGAACGACGACACGGGACTTCACCCAAATTCAATCGAAGATATACTCGACCATGTTCGAAATAGCACATACCAACACAATTCTTCTGAAGAAAAAATATTCGAAGAAAAATAAAAAGGCCCAATAACATATAGCAAAAGGTTGTAATCATTCCACTACAAAAAATATATACAATATCTAATTAAGGGCCAGAAAGACGCTCACACAAAAAAAACTATGTACAAAGTACTAAACATCATCCCCGCCTTCTTTGCCGCCATCTCCACCACTCGGCCTAGCAGCACCATCGCCACAACTCGGCCTAGCAGCACCATCTCCACCACTCGGCCTAGCAGCGCCGTCTCCGTCATCACCTTGGGGGTATTCATCCTCGTATCAAGCATCCTGCTCAAGATCGTCCAATTCCTCCTCTTCCTCGCCGTCGCCGGCTCCAGGGGTAGCTGGATCATAACCACAAGCAATCCTAGCCGCACGTGCATCAGTGCGAGCATCTTCAAAATCAGCCTCAGGAACCTTCCCTGCCGTCATCAAATTCCTATAGGTGTCCAACCGAGCCTAGGCATGGATCCACATCTCGTATAAATGTCGTGGAACGTCAGGAAAAGCAGAAGTATGAGAGGAGGACGGTTGGGCCAATAGCTTCGCCTTATCGGCCTCAAGAATGGTAACCTGCTCCTTTAGGTACGAAAAAATCTTTCTCGAGACCACTAATCCGTTCACTAGACCTCGCCTCCCTGAGTGCGGCTGTCTCAGCATCGCTTGCCCGTTCAGATCTAAGGACACGAACAACATCCTCCAATTTTGCCACATGCGCCAATGCCGCCAATCGGGCTCCCTCGGCCCTCTCTAACTCCGCCACTCTCTCGACCAACTCATCACTCAAGCCATTAGCTCTAATCAAGCTCTGATCAAGCTCAGCCCGCAGAGACATCACTTAGGCCTGGAGGTCAACACACTCAATCGCAGCCCCCTTATTCACTTCGATCTCGTCCTCCTTCATCCTAAGCGCCCCCTCAAGCTCGATGCATTTGTCGATGACTCTCACGAGCTCATCGTCCTTCTACTTCAACTCCTCCCTGAGGAATTGGAGGTTACCTCTAGCGTGGAGCCGAGCACGCATCTCACGGTACTTGTCACAAAATCAGCGATACTTCGTAACCATTTTCATAAAAACCACCTTCCGCTTCTCCGCTCGGCGGGCACTCTCGATCTCGAAGATAAGAATCTGAAGAGAGAAAGAGCCAAAAAAAGAGAAGGGAAGAGTCAGTAAGAATGGAAAGGAGAAAAACGCAAGGTACGAGAACAAAAACAAAGATACCCACTCACCCGCAGAGCCTGTCCAGATACGCTTAATTATAGGTCGGCATCCTTGAACGGCTGTAGAGTCCTGTTCTCGGCACCAGAGCAAAGAGGGACCAAAGAGGGGACCACGCTCTCTGTGTTGGTCAGCAAGTTGCAATCCAAAGGGATGACTATTGAACGAGAAGATCAATCAGTTCTCACCTCAACCCGAGTAAGCCCCTCATCAAACATCTTCTCCTCCTCGGGGTCGACATCAGAACCGGATTCAGAATCATCTACGGTCATACCTCTTTCACCCTCTTCGATAGAGGAAGGAATATCGACTGGCTCGGAGGTCGACGGATCATTCCTCGGCATGACCGTGGCAACCTGTGGTAAAGGAGCAATATCACCATCAAGAACCAAAATTCTGGCGTCTGAAGTCACGCCGATTTCAGGCACGGGCACGGCTGGCTCGGGTTCACCACCTGTTGATCCCTCGCCCCTTGCTACCTCGTCGCCAACCTCTACTCGCCGCCTTTTCAACGGAATTTCTTCCTCATCGCTCGGCAACAACTCATCCACCAAATGTAGTAAAGAAGAAGCCGTAGTCCCCGTTGATGGGGCAGTCGCTCGATGGCAGGCCTACGCAGAGCTGGGACTTTAGAAGAATCAACGGTCCGTACAGACTCACCTATAGTCATAGCGGTCAGAGATTTGTTCGCAGTACCCAACTGACGAAAAGCGGGAGTGGGAGCTTTCGCCTTCTTCGGAGTCCTTCGACCTAAAAGCAAGGAAAACCGCGTGAGTGAAAAAGAAAAGCGATATTGAGGTTGAGGTAACCTGAGATCAGAACTGGACTCACCGGTCGAAGAAGGTTGGGGCCCAAACATCTTGTTGAATGACGACCACTCACGGATCCCCACCGTGTGGGGTAGAATCTGAGCCACCCAGTCGCGAATATCGGTGACCTAAATGTAGGAGGCTCCTTCTCGGCTGCACCATAAATGGACGATTAGCCAACCAAAGGAAGGCGGCAAACGACCAGTTAACAAAAATACTTACGGGCAAAGTTCCACTCCACGGGAAACCCAGTCGGGTTCGCCACCACGTGCTCGATCTTGACGAAGAAATAGTCGACCCAAAACCTGCGATTGGTCTTATCGTCCATTTTTACCACCAGTCCCTTGGCCCCACGGTGGCGAAGGTGTATCATCGTTCCCCGGTGGAAGCTCGAAGCAAAAAGATGCAGCAAATGGCGGATAGAAATTCCACGTTCGGCCAGCTCTGCATAATTTATCAGCATAAGGAAAAGTTTGTAAATATAAGGAGAGAGCTGGGCTGGACAAACGTTGTAGTAACGGCAGAACTCCTCCGCTAACGGGGAAAGAGGAAGAGAATAGCCCACTCAAAACGGGTACGCGTAAAATGTGCAGTACCCAGGACGATGAATATGGATCACATCGTTCCCGGCCGGGACCAGGTCAATGTGAGCGGAGATGTCGTACTTGGTTCTAAGTTCGGAAAGACGGGCCGCTCCCATTTCAGATTTCACGGGCACAGGCTCATCAGCAGGAGACTTCGAGAAGTCCAACCTGGCCTTGTCACTACGAGGAATAATCTCCTCTGCGGTGGGAAAACTATCATCTTCTGTAACAATCGCCTCCCCCTCATCACGAGCGGGCGTGGCCACTGACAGCGGGTTCGGGCTAAGAATCTCCGAGGAATTAGAGGATGCACTAGCCATTCTTATAACTATATATGAGCGAAGGGATCGGAAGTGAAGAAGAAATGACGATGGCGAAAGTTGCAGAAGATGGAAACTCAGAAAGCACAAGAGAGGAAGATAGGCATGCTTAAGAAACTCTAAAGTGTAAAGTCTCGATCGAAAAGGTCTCTCCCTGTATTTATAGACAATATCGGGAGCTTGGCCGAAGTCGAGTAGTAGGAATGGGAGTAACGGTTGGTATAGTCTTGGGACTTTCAAAAGAAATATTCCCTTGAATATTCTCTATGTTGTACTTTTAGGGTTCTTTGAGAATATTCCCAAAGATTATATAGAGTGAGAGAGAGAAAGGAAAGGGGGGATTCATGAGAGGGAAGAACACAATTGTAAGGGGGCATTCAAGGAAAAATACAAAGAACCACTAGCACTCCTGTAATTCAACATTGTCAGAGGAAGGAATCTTCCACCCTTTTCAATATTGGGTGAATCTTCCCTTCTATTTACATTTATTGTCATTTAATGTTATTTAATGCATAGTCTTTATACATACAAACCTATCCAATCATGATCACAGTCAGCATCCGCATTCAATTACACTTCTTATTCACATTAGTCGCTTTTTGATCTAGATCCAATTATCTTTAACTAGGATTTGCCCGTTATTTTCTTATCTAATTGACTTAACAAAATGTATTATACTTTTTGGTCAAACAAGATTCTAATTATATTTCACCTTCAAATTCTTTCTTGTGTGCTGCATTCAAATTACTATAAATCGATTGAGTTTATAAAGTTGAAAATACAATAATCAAGATCCTTACATCCAACTGAAGGACTTTGTTTTTTTTCTTCTCATTATTAATTAGAGGAGAATGAGATTTGATAAGTGTCTTTGGCTGTGGATTGAAACATATATGATAAAGAAAGAAGACTATTACATCGCACGTGCCTTGACATTTTAGAAAAAATACAAGGATTTTGTTCAGACACGACATTGACCTAAATGCTGGGAGACCCCCCCCCCCACCCCACCCCACCCCACCCCACCCCACCCCCCACACCCATTTGTGGAACAACTTACAAGAAAATATATTATAGGTGAAATATATGGCCCCCTTGTGCCACATTCTCATTATATATGTTGTACCGATAGGGTGCTTTCATTTTCCAAGATAAAATTACTACTCCAGCAACGATGGAACTAAGGAAAATAAAAGGTTTTCACGTAAGCTTTACCTTCTCCTATATATATAACAAAATCAATCAATCAAATGAAAAGTTATACGTAAGTATTATGTTAATTAAGTTTGTCGTCTTTGCAGATAACAAGCAAACTATGGGTGCAGCGGTATGGTTCTCAAACCCATTTATTTAAATTAATCCAATATCACCCCACAAATTAAATACACTTGTCAGCATGACCTCATACAACTATTGTTGCGTCAGTCTCGCCCAAAATAAAATTTCTCGGTCACACCCTTGTGTGCCCTTGGGGGCTTTGTGTTCTGAAAACAGTTAAACGAAAGTGCAGCAAACAGCGAAGCATAAAGTAAAGACATGATGCCTCGACAAAGTAAAGTGTTTTTGCAGGTATAGGCTTCCCGTTTAAAACCCAACCCATATATATATTATGACTCGTTTGCTAGAAAAGAAATTAATTTGATAAAGCAAATAACAGATACCAAAGAAGTCATCATAACTGGAGATCCACTAAATGTTAACAAAGCAAAAAACAAAAATCTAATACTAATACTGCTCTCCAGATAAGAACACAAAGAGCTACAGAAGTATCAGTGGACGGAGGAGCATGCTTCCAGTTAATAAATTCTACTACTTAATATACAGGTATGATGAGATAATGAGTTTAGTAATTGATCAAGAAAGAAGCCAGCAGACTAATGCTCATGCTTGATGCGGGCCTTTAGTATTCCAGGGAGAGGAGGTGAGGTTGGAGTTGGACGCCTACCGGGTGTGTTTGACACTGATGTATGAGAGATTTGATGCTGGAACATGTTGGCCAAACTGGAACTGGAACCTTCAGCTCCATCAGCAGATATATTCTGCGCAACAACATCAGTCTTTTGCCTTCCGCAAAATTTCATCGCTTTGAGGACATAATTATCATCATGCAGCTCGAATGGTGTGCTGAGATTGATAAACCATAATCAGTCGAACTAATGGATAAGACAGGATTTGACATTGTAAGAAACGTATGAGCTCAAGCCACCCAGAACTGACAGAATAATTTTCTTCTTTTGGTAAGTCAAAAGTTTATTACTTCAAGTTGGTGTCAGAAGTATGTATATCTTGTTTATATGACTCAGCCAAGTCATCCACACTTTTATTGAACTCAAAATAGCCCACACATTCAGAAGGTACTAACCTGTTGAAGTCGAAATGCACTAGCTGCATATCTTCTGATATTTCCACTTCGACTGTAGCATGAGGACGAGTCTACAGCACCAAAAGAAACATAAAAAGCATGAAAACAACGAAATGCAAGACAAGAGCACTATAATCCATATTTTCTTTTCAATTCTATTGTTGGAATTTACAGATGCACGCAAGATATAATACACTGCATGTTAGTATTGGCGAAAAAGCAAAGGTGCCATATTCCCAACATTATGATTTCCTTTTTGTGCATGGCAATAAGATAGGGGCTTAACCAAAAATGTGCAAAGAGGAAAAGTTGAACATTGGGGACAGATGCCTCCTTCAGTCCTTTGTACTAGATTCAAAAGTAGAACATAATAAACAGCGGCGGAGCCAAGATTTGAATTATATGAGTTCTAAATTCTAAGATAGCGATATCAAGTGTTAGTAGATGGGTTCTGAATTTAACTTTTTTACATACATAGTGAATTTTTTTTTTTTTTTTTTTTGATGAAGTACATACATAGTGAATTTCTTAATAGAAATACAGGGCTGGAACTAAAGTTGTGGGTTCAGCCAAACCCGTACGTAACCTTTTAGCTCCACCCATGCCCATAAGCCCAGCTAAGGTTTCACAGATTGGAAAACGCAAATTCCAGCATGAGCATTGACCATCATGAGCCCAAGTTTAGTAAAAGAAAATAAAGTGTTATTCGAAAAGATCCATCGTAAGTTCAGGATGGGTATTGGATAAGTGACTGATCAATTCATAAACAAAATCTCACAGAAGTACCAGGCTTTCTAATCCCAACTTTCGCAGTAAACGTCCACTTCATCATTTAGTCATCTGAGAACACTATTTTCCATAAAAGGAAGTCCTACCACATTCTACCAACACAAGTTATATGGAGCCTGTTTTCAATGCTTTTATTTCCTTTGTATTCCTAAAAAAGACGAAACTAACTTGTTAAATCCCAAAACTTCTATTGAGCCTATTACTAGTTGCCAAGTCAAAATGAGGCCTGCAAATACAAAGAAATGAAACTAATAGAATAGAACATGGACATCATGAATCTAACTTAACTACAAAAGTTTTTTTCCTTCTACTTTTAAATAATTTGTGACTGTAAAATCAATATGTAAGAATATAAATAGCAGCTCATCTTCCTCCCAAGCTTCAATCAAAATTGTTTGGATAGGTGCTTATTCTTCTTGACGGACAAAAACTCTACTCATTTAAGACTAATTTTATAACTCTTTAAACAGTTTCATTAAATAAGCTAATCTTATTGGATACATTCTACATGTTTCTTGTGCGTGCGTACGGGCGAGCTTGGGAAAAGAAATTACAAATAGGGAAACCCTCTCTTCTTTTCTTCTCTTTCAGAGACCAGAGGTATTCTATATCTGGTCATAATGTCTTCTCATCCTTGTAAAAAAGTTATCCTTCCAATTTTAATTAGTAATAAAGGTTTTAATCAGATGTAGATGAAAAGCAATCAGCTATTATTAATATAAAAATTGTTGGGATTTACTTGAGCTCAAGTGCAGCTAAGACAAGTTGGAGGACAGATTAGGTTGCTACAAGCTTACTTGCCTCACTTGTAGCCTTAAACTATTTCCAACAAAAGAAATCATGAGATGACATATTAAAGAATGCAATGAATGACTTGTATCAGATATTTACTTATTTGCTATACAATGACCAATAACAACAATAGATGATTGTTGACCATTTACCTGCACTAGAATAAATGGTAAAGCCACACCACCACTAGGAGCATTGCCTGAGCCATATAACTGCTTATTGCGTTTTATGAGGTTTTGAAGCCCTACATACTTTCAAAAGGAAAACGCTTTAGTAAAAAGAAGAATAAGGAATACAAACAAAGATATCATTGCATATCAGCATAGTGAAAGACTATCAAACTTATTATCAGCATTGAACTAAGATAGTGCTCAGAGAGAATTCATACTTGTTCTTCTAGTTCTTCTAAATAGGCTGCTTTCTTTTCAATCCTATTTCTCAAGCTAAGACGCTCGGCCTGCAGTTAAAATAAATATGAGATTAAATTAAACATTAGATGAATGGATGTGTGCCAAAATTGATGGCTTGTCCAATTTGATAAAAAGAGGAAAGAGAAAGAGAGGGGTAAATACGAAATAGACAAATTTAAAATCAAACCTTTAGCTCCTCAATATCATTTGCATCAGTTCGTGGTAAACCCTTCCACTGTATTTCCTTTTTATCTTTGGAAATGATATCCATAGCCATAAGTACGTTCAGAGCATCATAGACTCGTCGTCTGATGTTTTTCTCATCATATTGTCGCTGTCAACCATAAAAGGTTCAAACTGATTTCATTGTTGAAAACAAGGACGTTCAAAATTTTATGAGCCACGAGAATGGAGATAAACCTGATCTGAAGATTCATGACCATTGGTAGGATCAGAAAACTCAGCTACAAGTTCATCTGCAACCTGCCCAATACATTAACTTCTGAGTTTAGAAATCCCTTGAAAAACAAATCGTTCAACACAGGAGAATGAAGAAAGCAGAAATCAGCCGTGGTAAACTATAAAAGATACAAGTTTCGCAACCATAGTGCAAATAAGTCGGTAGAAGCCAACAGACTACCCTCGTATTGTCTGATGCAGCCAAATGGCTTGTCCCAAGGAAGATATTATGAAGTCAAGAGTTACTTTCCCTAAGATCTTTTTTCTTTTTTTCTTGAGATGAAGTCTATGCAGCAATTTCTTGAAGAATAACTGATAACTTTGATAGTAAATTTATCAAGAAAAGGCTTGCACTATTATTTGATAAATTCAATGCGCAGAACAGACAATCCACCTCTCAATGCTCAAGCCATGAGAATGATTAGGAATAATATTAATCCTGAACACAAAAACAACCTCATCAATAGTTTTACATAAGAAAGACCATAAATTATATGCTCTAGTGACATATTATTTTACCCAAAAGCCATTTAATGAAACATCCCAGAGTAATAACCAGTACTACCTCCGTCCCAATTTTATGAGGTGGTGTTTGACTTGGCACGGAGTTTAAGAAAGGAAAACTTTTGAAACCTGTGGTCTAAAACAAGCCATATATATTTGTGTGGCCGCAAATTATTTTATTAAGGGTAAAGTAGGAATTTAAAGTTAAATTGTTTCAAAATAAGGAAGTATGATATTTTTTTTGGGACAGACTAAAAAGGAAGGTATGACACATAAATTGGGACGGAGGGAGTACATCTTACTTCAAAGATATTAGAGAGAGGAAGGCAATTGGAGGAGGTTAAAATCATTAATTAGGAAATCTGAAGTTCTCTCATAAGCAACAAAAGGATCTCAACTCCAGATCTCAACATGATAGGGAACCACTTTCCCTCCCACACAAATGTCCTAAGACACCAACGCGTGCCAGGCATGCACACCCAATAGCAATTAACTAGATTGTCCCTCTGACCTCTGCTCAACAAATTACAAACATCCTCACAGGAAAAAAGAAAAAGAAAAGCATTCCATCTAAGAGTGTCAATGGATATTTAAACACCGACTAAACCAATCGAACCGTACCACACTGAACCGATTTTTAGGTTTTTTTAAATAAAACCGTAGGTTCTTATATAAATCTACAACCGTACCGATAATTAGGGTAGGTTTTTTATTTTATAAATATAAACCGAAAAAATATCGAACTGTACCGAATAAATTTATATGTGAAAAATATATTTATATATTAACAACAACAACAACAACAAAAGCAACAAACCCAGTAGTTTCCTACAAGTGGGGTCTGGGGAGGGTAAGATGTACGCAGCCTTACCCCTACCCCTTGAAGGGCAAAAAGGCTGTTTCCGATAGACCTTCGGCTAGAGAGCGACCGAAAAAGAAAAGGTAATTGCAACAAGTAGGAATAACAGCAAGATGAAATAAGATTGAATCCAAGAATGCAGTCAAACTCCAGGTATTAATAGCCATCTATGGATAAAGATATCATACTAACACTAATGCTAGCGAACTGAATAAGACAAAGAGAAACGCTCGACTACCTATGAATCTTCCACCCTAATCTTTGACCTGCACATGCTCCTCTCCCCAAGACTTCTTAGGCCTACCTCTACTCCTCCTGCTATCCACCGAGGCTAAACGCTCGCACCTTCTAACTGGGACTTCTATACTTCTCCTCTTAACATGCCCGAAGCATCTCAACCTCGCCTTCCTCATCTTATCCTCCACAGGGGCCACTCCCACCTTTTCCCGAATAACTTTATTCCTAATCTTATCCAACCGGTTATGCACACACATCCACCTCAACATCCTCACCTCAGCTACTTTTAGCTTCTGGGTATGAGAGTTCTTGACCGGCCAACACTTTGCTCCATACAACATAGGTCTAACTACAACCTTGTAGAACTTACCTTTAAGTCTCAGCATCACATTCTTATCACAGAACTGGAAGCGAGCCTCCACTTAATCCATCCTGCTCCGATACGTTGCGTGACATCTTCATCAATCTCCATGTTACCTTGTATTATAGATCTAAGATACTTGAAACTACCTCTCTTGGGGATAACTTGCGTATCAAGCCTCACCTCCATATCCCCTTCCTGGGTACCGTTGTTGAACTTGCACTCCAAGTATTCTGTCTTGGTCCTGCTCAACTTGAAACTCTTAGATTCTAGGGTCTGCCTCTAAACCTCCAGCCTCTCATTAACACCACCCCGTGTCTCGTCAATTAAAACCATGTCATCAGCAAATAACATACACCATGGCACCTCACCTTGAATCTATGTTGCTCGGACTCTTCAAAAATGTTGTTGGGTGTGTGTCGGATCCTCCAAACTTAGTGTATTTTTGAAGGATCCGACACGGGTGCAGCAGTACTTTTGGAGAGTCCGAGTAACATAGCGTTGAATGTGTCTCGTCAATGCGTCCATCGCCAAGGAAAATAGGAATGGACTAAGAGCTGATCCTTGGTGCAACCCCATCATAACCGGAAAGTGTTCCGAGTCTCCTCTCGCTGCCCTAACCCGAGTCTCAGCTTCATCATACATGTCTTTAATCACCCTAATGTAGGCTACTGGGACCCCTTTAGCCTCCAAGCATCGCCAGAGCACCTCTATCGGGACTTTGTCATATGCTTTCTCTAGGTCAATGAACACCATGTGCAAAGCCTTCTTCATCTCCCTATACCGCACCACCAATCTCCTCACAATGTGAATGGCTTCCATAGTCGAACGCCCCGGCATGAAATCGAACTGGTTCTCAGAAATGGACACATTGGTCCTCACCCTTACTTCGACCACCCTCTCCCAAACTTTCATAGTATGGCTTAGCATCGTAATCCCCCTATAACTATTGCAACTTTGGATATCACCCTTGTTTTTATACAGAGGAATCATCGTACTACACCTCCATTCATCGGGCATCTTCTTCGTCCTAAAATGACGTTAATCAGCCTAGTGAGCCACTCCAAACCTGCCCTACCCACATTCTTCCCAAATTCCACAGGTATTTCATCTGGCCTGGTAGCTCTACCACTGTGCATCTTATGCATAACCCCCTCGATCTCATCTACTCTTATGAGCCTATAATACCCGAGATCCCTGCACATCTCGGAGTGCTCCAATTAAAAATAATAAAGCATTAAATTTTTTCTTGGGCCATGAAATTATGAAAATGGTTACAAGCCAATAAGTAATCAAAATCAAAATCCTAATTCCCAAATCCATTATGTTACTCCTACTGAAAGCATATTTACTAGCAAGACAAAGTATTCTAGCGATTATGAGTAGCAAACTACAATGTATTGAATATGTTTTCTTTCGTCTGATTTAGATTTATGAATATTTAATCTTCTATAGACTTTATTCTTGAGTCCCAGCTTGGTTAATATCTTTCTCCTCGTGCGATTTATCTTTTCTTTGTCTTTGCTAGTTTCTTTACGCTATTGTAGAGTAGTGGATGGATATATACTCTAGCCATCTTTCAAGTTTCTTAATTCATCACCTTTTAAATAGTAAAATTGTCTAGAGAGTTTTGCTAAGTCCTATAAAAGTGTGTATGTTATTGCATTCTACTTTTGCTAGTGACTTTTACATGACATTTAAAAAATACCGAAAATTAATCGAACCGTACCGATACCGAGGAGAAACCGACATGATTGGGACGGTTTCGAAAAGTTTAATTTCGGTTATACATAATAGAATCTATGTTACTCGGACTCATCAAAAATGTTGTTGGGCGTGTGTCGGATCCTCCAAATTTAGTGCTTCTCAAAAAGTGCTTTTGAAGAGAAGCTACATTTTTCTACTTCTCAAAAACTACTTCTGCTTCTGCTTCTCCTCAAAAGCACTTTTTTTTCCTTCTAAAAGCTTGGCCAAACACCTCAATTTTTTGCCAAAAGCACTTTTGACCAAAAAAAGCACTTTTGGCCCAAAAAAAAGCCTGGAGAAACAGGCTGTAAGTCCGACTTTCATATGATGATAGCATGATATTACACTAGTAAAAGGATCCTAGCATGATACAATTTAGAAAGGATAGAAGTATCAGATAAAAAATGTCATCTAAAAATAGATATAGTTTTCTCAATTGGCAACAGGTGCTGTCAGAACCAGATGCTAAGCATCATCATACATCAGAGTCATCATAATGAAAAATCTAATTATCCACAAACACATCATACAGACTAGAAGGGAAAAAGAATATATAATAGATAGGGACAACAGTTATTAAATTGAGTTTACTGAATCATAGCATGCATTTGTGAAACAAAGATACAGATGAAAGGAAATATCAGAGTTTTTAAAAAAATCATCTAACATTGAGTAACATTATGAATTTTCTCAAGCCAACTGACCTCATTATAAGTAGTTCTTCCTTTGCTTTCCACCTTCTCACAAACTGTAGAAAAAAGCAATAACTTAGTTATTAGTAGGAAGCTCTGATACCAAAGCTCAAGTAAGTAAGATATGCTTGCAACGCACGAAACAAATGATGTATGAGATAAAAGCAATCCAGCTGCTGGAAAAGTTTAGACATTTATACAAAGTAACACCCAAAAGAAGATAAAAATTGATTTAAAGCAAAAACCTTTCATGCTAAACTGTCTGAGTCCTCTACCACTCTTATCCCCTCCTGTTGCACGCTGACCTCTTTTCTTTTTCCTGTTACTAATAAGAACTTGTGGTAAGTAAAACTTAAGTAAATGTAAGGAATCATTATTCTGAGAGAAAAAGGCATACATTTTAGCAACTCATTTGCGATTTCCATGTTTAACCACATAATGACAGTGTAATCTAGCAAATCATCAAAATGAGAAGAACAATGTAAGTGTGTAACATTCACCACCTATGATGCCTAAACCACAACAATGAACACTTATTGTTTCTTTTTTTTGAAAAGGTAAAGGTTTATTAACTGAATACCAAGATGGTACCGGAAAAGAGTACAAAACTGCTGGGAATATCCATACAGTTAATTACAACATTTTCTAAGTAACTCCATAAAATCCATGTAATGATCAATATCATCTACCAAACTACTATTACACCAAAGAAATAGATTGTGCAGACACAACACTTATTGTTTCTTAGACAATATAAAGGCCAAATTTTGCCAAACACAGTAGGACCATCACCTTAATAGCAAATACTCTAACAGGTTTACATAGAAAAATTGTCTGCAACAACCCAATAGCATGAGGGTTGCATGGTCACAGATCCAATGCTACGAAGTCGAATGTCATGTCCTCTATCACTATAGAGGTGAATTCCTATAAACTTTTTGACACCTACATCTATTACTTTTTCCCATGTATTTCTCATAATGTTTTAGCATTATCAACTTCCACGTGTCCACGTCATTCCTTAGCTCAGTCTTTAAGCCATGTCCATGCTTCTTAAACTCAAGAAAATTAGCTAATGCAAGTTCCGTTAATTAAAGGTTCAGCAATTTACTATAGTTTTTTTATGACGGTGGTATCCTGGCTAGCTTGCACGCACTTCAACTATTCCATCAGGTGGCAGGTACCTACAATTTACAACAGCTCCTCTAGAAAAGTACTTATTTTACCTATCAAACAAACTAGTGAGAATGACAGCCGTGATTTAAACGCGGTGCGCCACTAAAAATATCATTAACATTTTTTCACTTTACTTCATCAAATAAAATATTGTAAACATTTTTCGTTAAACTTTCTAATGTGAGGATTCAGCATGAATTTTGCTAGTTTTACGTTAGTTGTCAGTCCACCACGATCCTCCTCTTTTATCCATACTTGAGACTGCAATATGCACAAGCTCACACAGGCTTCATTGTAGATGAGTTTAAATGGATAACGTGGCTAGTCAGGGGCGGATCCGCAGTTACGCCACTGCGTTCATTGAACCCGGTACTTTCAACGTGGAGCATAAATTTATATGTAAAATTCCACTAAGCTTGCAACAAATAGTAGGTACGAACTCGTAACTTTAAAAGCATAATGGATTCAATGCTAAAAATCTGAAAGTTTGAACCCAAAACTTAAATTCTGGATTCGCTGTGGTCACTGAGGATTCATATAGCCGAACCGATGCGTCATAGTTGTTGTATTCTTTCTTTGAATTTTCTATATACATACAGACTATTTATATGTTGGATCAGCCTCTGCACTAAGTAGAGTTCTATCTTCATAAAGTACATGCAATAAAGACACTATCATTTTTCTTAATAACAATAAAGCAATAAACAAGACATTTTTCTTTATAGAAACAAAGCAATAAATAACAATACTATTAAACAGAAGGAAAAAAAGACTCACGCAGCAGCCCCTTGAGATGCAGCATCATCAGCATGAATATCAAGGTTGTTTAGCCTAACGAAAGTGTTCTCACTCCCAGGAGTTGCCACGGCCGATGGAGACCCGACACTGCCACTGGTTGAAACCGATTGACCCGAAACAGTAGTAGTGGGCCCCCATGACCTTCTAGAAACTTCTGATGGATTCTTTCCGCCTTCCTCCAAATTATTCACCATTCCAACCAACTAATCATAAAAATTCTTTCAATTGCTGTCAGTCCTAGCAAAAATTGATAAATGTAAAAGATTTAATTCTCAAAAATAGAATTTTGGGGTTTTTCAGGGAACAAAAGCAGATAGAGAATTTGCAAATTTGACAGAGACCGAGATGGGAATTTAACTAAAATAATTTTTTCTATTTGGAGGTTTAGAAGGGGTGTTGAGCATGTGAAGGCGGCAGGGAGACCTGTTGGTTTCGAGCTTGAGGAAGGAGGAGAAAAAAAGTACTTATGTCGAGGTCTTCTTAAGAAGCTTTTCCTGTTCTCTTCTTTTTTT